TTGCCCTGCCTGATCTCAAACCCCTGGACTCAAGCAATCCTCTTGTCTCGGCTTCCAAAGTGCTGGGATTACAGGCTTGAGCCACTATGCCTGGTAAAAAATGTTTTTTAAATTGTATATTGCTGCAGCATAAACTAGCTCATTCTGACTGACAGAGATACTTTTTTTCAGGCAAGAGACATCAGATGGCTTGTGAGGTCAACAAACCAATAAAAAAGATACTCACTCTTGTCCATTTTAGAGCATATGTTCTAAGAAAGAATCATGCTCTTAAAAACATAATTTGGCCAGGTGCAAATTAATTAAATAAATAAATAAATAAAACTTTCTTTTTTTTTGAGTCGCAGTCTCACTCTGTCACCCAGTCTGGAGTACAGTGGCACACTCACGGCTACCGCAGCCTCGACTTGCTGGGCTCAGGTGATCCTTCTACCTCTGTCTTCCAAGTATCTGGAAATACAGATATATGCCACCACTCCCGGCTAATTTTTGATTTATTGTAGAGATGAGGTCTTGCCATGTTGCTCAGGCTGGTCTCGAACCCCTGAGCTCAGGCAATCCTCTCACCTTGGCGTCTCAAAGTGCTGGGATTACAGGTATGAGCCACTGCACCCGGCCAAAAGTCAACTTTCAATGGAACCCCAGACACTGACTCCCTTCTGTAAAAGATCGTGTGTCCCAGTTTGAAGAAAGTTTAAAATACAGGCCAGGCATGGAGGCTTACCGTGTAACACCAGCACTTGGGAGGCGGAGCCAAGAGGATTGACTAAGTCCACGGGTTCAAGATGAGCCTGGGCAACATGGTGAGACCTCGTTTCTACAATAAATAAAAAAATTTAGCCGGGCTCAGTGGCTCAGCCTGTAATCCCGCGCCTTTGGGAGGCTGAGGTGAGTGGATTGCCTGAGCCCGCGGGTTCGAAACCCGACTGGGCAGCGAGACCTCATCTCTACAATAAATCAAAAAATAAGCTGGGCGTGGTAGCACATGCCTGTAATTCCAGCTACTCGGAAGGCTGAAGTGGAAGGATCACCAGAGTCCAGCAGGTCGAGGCTACGGTGGCCAGGAGCGGCCACTGCACTCCAGTCTGGGCAACAGAGTGAGACTCCAACTCAAAAAAAAAAATTTACCAGGTATGGTAGCACGCACCTGTAGTTCCAGCTATTTGGAAGGTTGAGACAGAAGGATTACTGGAGCCCAACAGGTTGAGGCTGCAGTGGCCATAAGCTACCACTGCACTCCAACCTGGATGACAGAGTGAGACTCTGACTCAAAAATAAATTAAATTAAATTATAGTTTGGGGACAGTTGCTCACCGTGTAACACCAGTGCTTTGAGAGGCTGAGGCAGGAGGATTGCTGCCCAGGAATTTGAGACCAGTGAACATAGTGAGACCTCATTTCTACCCCCTCCCCCCCCCAAAAGTGTTAAAGAGTAATCAAAGTTTTAAAGAGAAATGAAAGTCGGGCTTGGTGGCTCAGCCTGTAATCCCGCGTGTTTGGGAGGCTGAGGTGAGTGGATTGCCTGAGCCCGCGGGTTTGCGACCCACCTGGGCAACTTGGCGAAACCTCATCTCTACAATAAATCAAAAATGAGCTGGGTGTGGTAGTGTGCGCCTGTAGTTTCAGCTACTTGAAAGGCTGAGGCAGAAGGATTGCCGGATCCCAGCAGGTCGAGGCTGCGGTGCCTGGGAGTGGCCACTGCACTCCAGTCTGGGCAACAGTGTGAGATTCCAACTCAAAAAAAAAAAAAAAAAAAAGAGAAATGAAAATGAGAGAGCTTTGGAGGGAACTGTGGACAGTTGTCTGGGGCATTTTTATGAAGGAGACAACTTTGTCTACTTGGTCTGTCCTCTGGGCTCTCTAAACCTGACCTCCTCTACTAGGGAGGTCACCCTGAACTGTGAAGGACCTCCTGAACTAGGGAGAACCTCTTGAACTAGGGAGGATCTCCTGAAGTAGGGAGGATACCCTGAACTGGGGAGACCTCCTGAGCTGGGAAGGATATCCTGAGATGGGAAGGACCTCCTAAACTAGGCAGGACACCCTGAACTAGGGATGATACCCTGAACTGGGGAGGATACCCTGAGCTGAGGAGGACACCCTGAACTAGGGAGGATCTCCTTAGATGGGGAGGACACCCTGAACTAGGGAGGACTTCCTGAGCTGGGGAGGGCACCCTAAACTGGGGAGGACACCCTGAACTGGGGAGGACCTCCTAAACTAGGGAGGACACCCTAAACTAGGGAGGATCTGCTGAGCTGGGGAGGGTACCCTGAACTGGGGAGGACCTCCTAAACTAGGGAGGACACCCTAAACTAGGGAGGATCTGCTGAGCTGGGGAGGGCACCCTGAACTGGGGAGGACCTCCTAAACTAGGGAGGACACCCTAAACTAGGGAGGATCTGCTGACCAGAGGTGGACACCCTGAGCTGGGGAAGATCTGAACTGGGGAGGACACTCTGAACTAGGGGGGACACCCTAAACTAGGGAATGCACACTGAACTGAGGAGGACACCCTGAACTAGAAGGATCTCCTGAACTGGGGAGGATATCTTGAACTAGAGAGGACCTCCTGTCCTGGGGAGGACACTCTGAACTAGGAGGACCTCCTGAGCTGGGGAGGACACCCTAAACTGGGGAACACCTCCTGCACTGTCGATTGTGTTTTGGCCCTCCTGCACTCTGGCTGTGGCTCAGTTCTGTGCTGTTTCCCTAATTCATGCAACTCCAGGCTGTAGCTCACTCACATCGCGCACTGCAGGGTCTCTTGACACAGAAGCCCAGTGAGTGAGGCCGTGGCTCTTCCTAATGTGCCCCTTAGGGTGCTGTGAGCAAGCTAGCGGATGCTCCCAGCTTCCTTACTTCCGTCTCCCAGAAAGCTCTTCTGCCCTGGTCAGCTGCTGAGCTCTTGACTAGTGTTCACCCTGCAGGCCATAACCTCCTGGGATGCAGGGCCCGTGTATTATCCATCCATGAGTCGCACGGTAATTACTTTAGCCTGCTGAGACTCAGCCAGCTCTGGCTTGAATACTGATCTCACCCCTTAACAACCAGGTAGGATGGCCACTTAACCTCTGGTACTGTTTTATAGTCTGTAAAATGGGCATAATAACGCCTCCTCCTGTGATTTGTTTTTGGTCCAGAAGCCTTTGCAGGGTGCTTGGAAGAACAGCGGGTTCCAGTCATCCAAGGGCGTGTGACCTCAGAAGAACCCGTGCATGCCTCTTCATCAAGAGCTATGAAGGCTTTGCTTGTGGCTGTCCATGACCATTTAAAGGAGAACCTTTTGCTGGAGGCTGCAAGCTGGACAAGCTGGGGGTGGTGGTGCTTACTTCAAGGTAAGGGACTGGCTTGTACTCTATCCACATTGTTTGGATTGTTTTTTCTTCGTGGGGGGAAGAGGGGAGAGCTCAGGCTGGTCTCAAACATCTGAGCTAAAATGTTAAAAAAAAATGTTAAAAAGCACCTCCTGCTTCGGCCTCCCAAAGTGCTGAGATTACAGGCCACACCCATTTTAGACTTTTTTACTTTAATTTTATGTGTACTAAAGATACATGATATTTAAAATAAATACAACTTTCTAGCCGGGCTCGGTGGCTCAGCCCATAATCCCAGCGCTTTGGGAGGCTGAGGTGAGTGGATTGCCTGAGGCCACAGGTTCGAGACCCGCCTGGGCAGGTGAGACCTCATCTCTACAATAAATCAAAAAATTAGCCGGGTGTGGTAGCGCGCACCTGTAGTTCCAGCTACTGGAAGGCTGAGGCGGAAGGATCACTGGAGCCCAGCAGGATGAGGATGCGGTGGCCAGGAGCGGCCACTGCACTCCAGTCTGGGCGACTGAGTGAGATTCCAACTCAAAAAATAAATAAATAAATACAACTTTCTAAAACAATGTGGGGCTGGCAGGGTTCCTGGCTTATCTGCTGAAACTTGTAGCTCTTTTACAGACAGCAAGGGCAACCAATAGAAAACATTAATAATGATCCATGTGACAGTGACCCTGGGTGTAGAGATGTGGCATGATAATCCTTTGTGGCAGTACCAAGTCTTTCTTCACAGGACTTTAAACTAGCTTGCAGGCCAGATGTGGTGGTGGCACCTGTATGTAATCCCAGTTACCCGTAAGGCCGCAATGGGAGAATCACTTGAACCCAGGAGTTTGAGGCTGCAGTGAGATATGGTGGCACCACTGCACTCCAGTCTGAGCGACAGAATGAGGGATTGTCTCAAAAAAAAAAAACCAACAAGGTCTGGCATGGTGGCTCACGCTTGTAATCCTAGCATCACCTGAGCAGAGGAGGTCAGGACTGCAGTGGCTGTGATGGTGCCACTGCACTCCAGCCTGGTCGACACAGCAAGACCCAACTCAAAAAAAAAAAAATTAATTTAATTTAAAAACAAGGCCGGGCGCGGTGGCTCAAGCCTGTAATCCCAGCACTTTGAGAAACCAAGGTGAGAGGATTGTCTGAGCCCATGGTTTCCAGACCAGCCTGGGCAACTTGGTGAAAACTCATTTCTACAATAAATCAAAAAATTAGCCGGGCATGGTGGCCCATGCCTGTGCCTGTCATTCCAGCTACTTGGAAGGCTGAGGCGGAAGGATCGCTTGAGCCCAGCAGGTTGAGGCTGCGGTGGCCTTGAGAGTGCCACTGCACTCCAGCCTGGACAACAGAGTGAGACTCCAAAAAAAAATTTTAAAAACCAAAACCGGTTATGGAGATTCTCTAGCCTCCAGGAAGTCTCTGGGGGCGGGGGTGCCGCCCCTCTCCGGCCCCAGGCGGGGGCGGCTGGGCAGGCCTCGAGGCCTGCGGCCCCAGCCGGGCTGTGACGGGTCTCTGGGCCGGGAAGGAAGCCCAGGGTGAGAGGCCAGCCTGGGGCCAGGCTAACCAGCGGGAGGCCGGCCCGGGGCCGGTGGTCGGGGACCCGGGACGGGGCGTGGGCGTG